GCCTGCATTAGTACGCGACGGATATCCATACGTTTAGGGATTTCCAATACCAGGGTATGGAGAACATTAAAAAGAAATCTGCTGCATCCGTATCATCTACAGCGTGTTCAACATCTGAAGCCAGAAGACTTCCCTAGGCGTCAGTGGTTAAATAATAATCGGAACTTATACCGCTACATTTTATTTACGGATGAGTCACAATTTACTCGAGATGGCATAAATAACATCCATAATTTGCATAAATGTTCGGACATTAACCCTCATTAGTCGTATTTGCAACACGACGGAGCTCCTTCTCATTTTTACCGTAGAGTCACCGATCATCTAAATGAACGTTATCCTAACCGCCGGATCGGTCGAGGTGGACCGCACATTTGGCCAGCCAGATCTCCAGATCTCAGTCCTCTGGATTATAACATATGGGGTTGGATGAAAGATTTAGTATATCAAGAAAAAGTAGACACACGTGAGGCTTTAATTCAAAGAATTTTTGACGCTGCAACGCAAATAAAGGAGCACCGTGCAAAGATAAAAAATGCAACGCGAGCCGTTCACAGGCGTGCAGATAAGTGTATTGAAGTAGGAGGTGGAATTTTCGAAAATGTTTAAAATTAATAAATTATTTTTTCAAATTATAATATATATAGATACCCATAATAGATAAAATAATAATAATATATAGATACCCATAAGGTTTATGGGTATCAGCTTCTATTATCAGAACGTCCGTGGTTTACGATCCAAGACTAATACTTGTTCAATCAATTCACATGCCTTATTGGCGGATTTTATCTGCCTTACTGAAACATTTCTTAATGATAGCATATCCGACAAGGAGTTACTCAACTCATCTTATACCGTATATCGTCGCGATAGAAATTCAACGGCTTCCACCAAGCGCGATGGTGGCGGAGTCCTTATAGCTGCGAAGCATGGCTTTCATACCGTTCCCATGCCGAGTCTGCAAAGTGGTGCGGAGGACTTGTGGTTGAAAGTTCAGTGCGGTCAACTAATTTTTCTTTTGTGCTGTGTTTATCTTCCTCCTTCTGCTGATGAAGCGCTGAATCTGTTTTTGTCCAGTGTGTCTGCTGTGCGCGATGCCTACCAGGAAATTATGATTGTTATTATAGGTGATTTCAACATGCCAACTATCTCTTGGTCTATGTCTGAAGATGATGTATTCATTCCCACAGGGAATTTCGACCGTCGCGCGATTGATTTTCTTAACATTTATTCATATTGTAATTTTAGTCAATTTAATAATGTATCGAATATTAATAATAGAATTCTTGATCTTGTTCTATGCGCTAGCGGTCGAGTCGAAAGCATACATCTCTGCAACGATCCACTTGTGGATCCTGACTGCCACCATCCACCGTTTGAATTCTTATTATCGGGCATGTTCATTTGTCTGAGTGATGGTCCGAATGTTCGCTTTCTTTTTAAGAACGCGAATTCCGGAGCTATCAAGTGTTTCTTAAATAGTATCGATTGGCAGACTGTTTTTGCTGGGATGGGCGTGGAGAGCATGGTTGAAGTTTTCTATGACCGCGTTAATTATGTAATTAACAGAGACGTTCCTAAGCGCTTTCNAGAGTCAGCTCTAGTCATGACTGCCTAAGGCTCCAGGAGGACCTTGATCGTCTACATGATTACTGTCGCGTTAACAAACTTTATTTGAACTATGACAAATGCCAAAAAATAACGTTTACATGGAAACGCTATCTTATTAATTTTAATTACAACTTTAATGGTAGACCTATTATCTCTACTGACAGAGTGAAGGATCTTGGCATTATACTTGATGCCAAATTGAGATATCACCTTCACATCGAAGTCTTGGTGGCGAAAGCCCTGCGTAACCTAGGGTTTGTTATCAGAATAAGTAGACAGTTTACCAATTTTAGAAGCATTAAATCCCTTTATATGGCATTTGTTAATAGCGTATTATCCTATGGTTCCATAGTGTGGAATCCTATGTACGCGGTCTATCGTGATCGCATCGAAGCGGTTCAACGACGCTTTGTACGCTATCTGGCTTACAAATATCATCTTCCCTATTGCGATTACGATAGATGCTGTGTGGTTTTTAACTTATTATCCCTGCGGCAGCGTCGGCTAGTCTCAGACTTAATTTTTCTTTTCAAACTGGTCAATGGCTTACTGGACGCACCTGATCTTCTGTCTGTGTTGAACTTTAATGTACCACAGCGTTTCACGCGGCGGAATACTACATTCCTTTTAGGCACATCGAACACGAACGCGGAAATCGGTATAAACTCGCCTATCGTTCGGCTTTTGAATACTTACAATCAGGACTTCAACCATGTTACTCTATTTGGACTCTCGTTGCGCTGATTTAGAGAATTACTATTACGTAACGTTTAGTTGTTAACTTCTGTATTGTAGTACAATTATATAATATTTTTCGCTTTTTTTTGTAATTTTTTTTTAATTAGCAACTATCAATGCTGTTATTATTATTTTCATAGTTAATGTTATAATTATTGTTATTTTTTTTTTCTCGTTTTTTTGCTTTAAGTGTTTTGTTTTTATGAGGATGCTTCACTGGGGATATCCTCCCTGTTTGTGTCCCAATAATAAATAAATAAAAAGAAGGGCTTAGCAGCTCATTTTTTTTATGTTTTATGTGCGGGATAAAAAACAAGCTTTACACTGAAGAAAGCAAAGAGTCTATTGAGATAAACTCTGCTGTTGTTTCTGTTATCTGTCGGTACCGGATATACACAGACTGAAGAATTATTGTTATGTGTGGATATACCATTTATGTTAACAAAAACATTCCAAAAATATCAACACCGTAAGTGACAAAATCATGGATTAAGCATGGCAGTCTATGATAAACGCAGGTGAAGAAGAATTAATTTAGTTACAACTTCAGGAGAAGTAAATAAAGACTGAATTCCTATGATAACCTTAATTGCAGCTGCCTGGTGTAAACGCTAAACGCTCGAACAACGTCAATTACGATGCATCATCCGGAGTGGTACTGCTATAAAATAATTGTATACAATAAAATAAAATACTTTTGTATACAGGGTAATTCAGGTAGGTAGCGAAAGCCGATCAGGGTTATGTTGCTATTGATAATGATAGCAATTCGGTTATAATTTATGAGTGACATTTCACATGAAGAATATAAAAGAAAGAAGAATTTATTGTAAACTTGTAAGATGGATGCATTAACAGAAATAAAATACAAATTCTTACCAGAAGTTAAAGTACCAATCAGAAATAGATCCAAGAAAGGTATCTGTGCCCAACTGCATCGAGATTTGGTGATGCATGTAGGATGAGAAATGGCACGTCTTGCTTAAATAAAGTTAAATCAATCTTGTACTCGAAATTTGCTAGAAACAATAACATTAAACATGGCCAAGACTATGAATAGCCTGCAGTAAAAAAATTTGAAAGTAAATATAATTTGTCAGCAAACTCTTGAGCTCTATTCATCCGTAAGATGTATGGATTCTTAGTTGCAAGTCCAAATGAAACAATAAAAAACGAAAATGCCATCGTCGAGGTGAAGTGTCCAGCGAATTTCAAGAGCTTACATCTATTCAACGATGGCAAATTAAAATTTCCTAAAGATTTTTCTATTCAGGGCTGTTTTATTTATTACACTATTATTTTGTATACTTGAATCATTATTTAATATTATTATTAATTAGATATTACATAATATTTCATTTACTTATACAAGGTGATGCAGACCATCCATGCAGTCCATTTTTTTAAACGGAAATATTCAAAAAGTTAGAATGAAAAGTAATAATATTCATAAAATGGATATGCTTTGCACAGCCAAGAAACCACATTTATTCAGCTATTATACATTTTTTCTTTAATTTTTGTAACTACCTGTGTTTTCAAATAAAATTACTTACACGATTACTCTGAGACACCTGTATATCAAACGAACGCATAATAATACATATGCATAATAATACTATATATTTTCACATATTTGGATTTGTCTATTTTCAAGGTTTATGAATAACTTTACTTTTTGCAATTTGATTCGGGCTTTCTCGAGTTATTCGATTTTTTCTAAAAAAATCTGCTCTAGCAGAAATTTTTTCAAAAAATCTGAGAACACTCGATTTTTGAATATCAATTTAGGATTCAAAACATGTTTAAGCAACATGATGGAGTATGTTTTGGTGCCAAGATTGGCTGTCTAGACCGTTTGGTCACTCAACTATGGCACGTAAACTTTTCAAAATTTGGAAGCACCATAACTTCATTTCTGTAACAACGTCTCATTTTACATCTCTTTTATCCCATATGGGAAATAATTATGGTTTCTTGAAAAATGCACACATCATATCGATATTAACAGAAAATATATTCGAGTCAAATGTTCTGCTAACTGTGCTCCACATTTTTTACTTATAAGAAGCATTATTCTATTGTGCTATAAGCAGTAGCAGATGCACATGTCAGGTTTATAACAATTCAAGTTGGAGGATACGGCAAACAAAGCGATGAAATCATATTTCAGAAGCATATCTCAACAAAGATACTCCTTTGCTAGGAACAAGCAAAGCAATGCCTTATGTGTATTTATTGACGATGTGGCTTTCTTATGACTAAATAAATAATGTAGCAAATAATCACAATATCGCACGGGACAGGTCAAAACTTCAAGCGCACCGATTAACACAAATTTAATAAAATTCTACATACATAAAACCTAAATCTGGTGTAACCTTGACACTATATTTGTTTGATTTTAATTTGTTGATCCACATCTCTTTGTGAAAAATTTACAAAATCCTTCCATTTTTAATTATTTTATTTAATGATTTATTCTGTAATTGAATTCTTAATGTACCCTTTATATTAATAACCGTACTTATTAAGTCATCAAAACTATGGAAAATCTTCATTATGTAAATCTTTTATATCTTATTATGTTCATCTTTTAATCGGTCTGTTTTCTGAACAATCAAGGTGATTTGGATTATTTTAAATGAAATCAGTTTAACACAATGCGTGGTTCCATTAAAACGTTTCTCGGTTTAACATTCATATTGTTTGTTAAAAATGAAACGGAAATTGTCGAAGGAAGAATTTCAGATAGAATTAGCGAGAAAAGTAAAATGTTAAAAACTTAATATTACACATTGATTAATATTTAATTTTATCCTTAAAGAATGTCAAGAATATTTAAAATTGAACATCAAAACTACGATAACAACCACCACGACACCAAAAAGTGTAATGAAGCCTAATTTTCCCTTCGTTGTTGGTGGTACGAATGCTTATTTTGAAGAATATCCCCATATGGTAATTAAAAATTGAAATCATTAACTAAAATAATTTATTAAAATAATTATAGGCTATTTTGGGATATGGTCCATCAGAAAACATCGAATTTAAATGCGGTGGGAGTTTAATCAGCGAACAATTCATCTTAACAGCAGCTCATTGTTTAGAATCAAAAGATTTGTAAGAAACCAACAAAATTTTTTGTTTAAATATCTATTTTTTTAATTATTTTTAGTGGACCAGTTTCCCTAGTAAGATTAGGCGATTTGGATATAGCTGCAACAAACGAATCTGCGGAACCTCAAAATTTTAAGATTCAAGAAGTTTTTAGTCCCCCGGATTACGATTTCGAATCTTTTTACCACGATATAGCTCTAATTAAATTAGATCGTCCCGTGATTTACACGCTATACGTAAAACCTGCTTGTTTACAATCAAAATTAGATTTAGATCATAACAATTTAACAATAACTGGATGGGGAGCTTTATATTATGGCGGTAAATTGCATACTTATCTTCAAAAGGCTAATTTACACAATTTGCCGGCGCGAAATTGTGCAAGAAGTATTCGTGCACAACCGAGATTAGCGAATGGTTTCGATGAAAAGTTGCAAATATGCGGGGGAGATCCAGAAACTATGGTGGATGCTTGTCATGGTGATTCTGGTGGACCGATTCAAATGAAAATTCAACATTTACCACAAATGTATAGAGTTGTAGGGGTTACATCGTTTGGAAATAATTGCGGATTAGTTCCCGGGGTTTATACAAGAGTCTCTAACTATATTTCTTGGATTGAATCCATAGTTTGGCCAAATTAAATAAATGTATGTGTAATTGTTTGTTGTATTTGACTTTAAATTTTTTTTAAATTTGATTGAGTTTTTTCTACTATTAAATGTCAAAACTCACAATAAGTTTTTAATTCTCCATGCTTCTCGGTGCTATTAGTCGCCTTTGGTTAGGTTCCATTCTGCCATCGTGTTCTTTACTCCTCTTGATCATGTGTTGCGTCTCCTCCCTTTTTTTTTGCCGCCCTTGCCGCCCTTCTCCAACAATTCATTTACTTTGCCAATACCTTTCTTGCATCACTTATATTCATCTGCCACTAACTATGGTTTTAAAGATAGTGTTATACAGGGTGTCTCAGCGAGACTGAACCTTCTTAAATGTTTAAGGNAGGGGTTACATCGTTTGGAAATAATTGCGGATTAGTTCCCGGGGTTTATACAAGAGTCTCTAACTATATTTCTTGGATTGAATCCATAGTTTGGCCAAACTAAATAAATGTATGTGTAATTGTTTGTTGTATTTGACTTTAAATTTTTTTAAAATTCACAATAAGTTTTTAATTCTCCATGCTTCTCGGTGCTATTAGTCGCTCTTGGTTAGGTTCCATTCTGCCATCGTGTTCTTTACTCCTTTTGATCATGTGTTGGGCGTCCTCTCTTTTTTTTTTGCCGCCCTTGCCGCTCTTCTCCAACAATTCATTTACATGGTCAATACCTTTCTTGCATCACTTATATTCATCTGTCACACTTTACATCCGTAGCTAACAATGATTTTAAAGATAGTGTTATACAGGGTGTCTCAGCGAGACTGAACCTTCTTAGATGTTTATGGGCTAGAAACAAGTTACAATAAATGTTTGAAATAGTGGTCGTTCGCATTAAAGTACTATGTTATACGTGAAGAAACACCCTCAAGTGTTGCTCTTCGTACTTCTTGAGGAAAGAGACTGTAGTACGCGTGCTTCTAATTCTTCCCTTGTATTTACGGGTGTCTGGTACACCTGATTTTCTATACATCCCCAAAGGTAGACGTCCACAGGCGTCAAATCTGGAGATCTTGCCAGCCAGTTTCACGGTCCTAACTGCCTTATCCACCTGCCTTCGAACATTGAAGTGAGTTCTTGAGATACTTTATATAGGCGGGAGCTCCATCCAGTTGATACCAACTGCTTCTTCTCAAGTTCAAAGACAGGTTGTCAAGAAAATCTTCTACCACAATACGTAATAAATTCAGGTCATGCTCTGCTGTTAAAACGTCGTCATAAATGAAGTAAGAGGATTGCATTCAGGTTGACGGAAGCCCAGATATGGTTGTTATGCCTGTTAAAGATACCTTTGCGCGAAAACTTCGTCCGTCCAGATAACTTTTTTCAAAAAGTTTTCATCCTCTTGACAGCGAAGGTATAGTACATCTCACACAAGTTCAGTCGGTCATCGGGATCTTGAGTATGAAGGTCTTGAACTAACCAGAACTTGTAGTTGTGGAACTGATGTTTCTTCAAGCTCCTCTGCATTGAACACCTACTGATTCCCAGATCTTCTTTGGCAGCTCGAATTGAGGCATTGAGGTTGGCCTTGAAACATGCCAAGAATTTGCTTCTATTCTTCTAACTTTACCTTTTATCATCGGAGGTAAATGTGGATAGTTTTCAATAACATTTTGCAAGTTCTACTAAGAACTTTGTTGCAGTTTCCGTGCATAAACAATATATTAAGGATTTCTTCATTTGTACAAACATTATAAAAACGCAGGTTTCGTCATTCTAGAAAAACCTTTATATTTCTCACACAACAAAACGTATTCACATTTAATTTAACGCCAATGAAACCAAAAACACCTTCGGTATATTCATTGATCAAATTACACAAAAACAATTATCCAATAAGACCTATTATTTCCTCAATTGAGTTCATTACATACAAAATTTCTAATACAATTTTCCAAAAATAATATACAATTTAAAGCCAAATTTGCTGTAAATTGTGAGGATGTTATCCACAATATGATAAATATGTATATTTTTAATAAATTAATAATTATACTTTACTAGATAAATGAAGCGAACATGTTGAACATGAATTTTAATGAATGAATAATAATAAACAAATTGTCTTGGTGATATTGTCATGATAAATATATAAGATGTTTTAAAGAAAAGGGAGGTCGGCCATGAATGTGTCGCCACAAATACTCCTCCCTCCCCTCCTTCCAAGAAGAGACCAAGACAGAACGCAAAGAAAACGCATGTAAAATGTTAATTATGGTAAAGAAAAAGAAACTTTTTTAACTTTATTTTGTTCATTTATAGAAAAAGGACGTAATGAATCGTTTAAAATAAAAGCTGTTTGTAATCTGTCAATACTAACAATACAATTCTTGTTATTTCTAAAAATTATGAAACTTTTATCGAATTGTAAGTGTTAAGAGGCTACTTTACCANAATACCTTTCTTGCATCACTTATATTCATCTGCCACTAACTATGGTTTTAAAGATAGTGTTATACAGGGTGTCTCAGCGAGACTGAACCTTCTTAAATGTTTAAGGGCTAGAAACAAGTTACAATAAATGTTCGAAATAGTGGCCGTTCGCATTCAAGCACTGTGTTATACATGAAGAAACATCAAGTGTTGCTCTTCGTACTTCTTGAGGAAAGAGACTGTAGTACGCGTGCTTCTAATTCTTCCTTTGTATTTACGGGTGTCTGGTAGACCTGATGTTTTATACATCCCCAAAGGTAGACGTCCACAGGCGTCAAATCTGGAGATCTTGCCAGCCAGTTTCACGGTCCTAACTGCCTTATCCACCTGCCTTCGAACATTGAGGTGAGTTTTTGAGATACTTCAATAGGCGGGAGCTCCATCCAGTTAATACCAATTGCTTCTTCTCAAGTTCAAAGACAGGTTGTCAAGAAAATCTTCTACCACAATACGTAATAAATTCAGGTCATGCTCTACCGTTAAAACGCCGTCATAAATGACGTAAGAGAACCTGCCATCCACCAAAAGCAAAAAACGTTAAAACTAAACTTAACCTGATAGTTTCTTTCTCGGATTGCATTCAGGTTGATGGAAGCCCAGATTTATGGTTGTTATGCCTGTTAAAGATACCTTTGCGCGAAAATTTCGTCCGTCCAGATAGCTTTTTTCAAAAAGTTTTCATCCTCTTGACAGCGAAGGTATAGTACATCTCACACAAGTTCACTTCGTCGTCGGGATCTTGAGTATGAAGGTCTTGAACTAACGAGAACTTGCAGTTGTGAAACTGATGTTTCTTCAAGATCCTCTGCACTGAACACCTACTGATACCCAGATCTTCTTTGGCAGCTCGAATTGAGGCGTTGAGGTTGGCCTTGAAATATGCCAAGAATTTGCTTCTATTCTTTTAACTTTACCGTTTATCATCGGAGGTAAATGTGGATAGTTTTCATTAAACATTCTGCTAGTTTTACTAAAAACTTTGTCGCAGTTTCCGTGCATAAACAATATATTAAGGATTTCTTCATTTGTACAAACATTATAAAAATGCAGGTTTAGTCATTCTAGAAAAACCTTTATACATAGCAAAAACCTTACAATTTTTTAACGACAACAATTTTATAGAAATAAAGAAAAACCCTACAGCCGCCTTTCATACCAAAACTAAGAAAATAGTTAAAGCACAAGAATTTCTCACACAACAAAATATATTCACATTTAATTTAACGCCAATGAAACCAAAAACACCTTTGGTATATTCATTGATCAAATTACACAAAAACAATTATCCAATAAGACCTATTATTTCATCAATTGAGTTCATTACATACAAAATTTCTAATACAATTTTTCAAAAATAATATACAATTTAAAGCCAAATTTACTGTAAATTGTGGGGATGTTATCCACAATATGATAAATATGTATTTTTTAAATAAATTAATAATTATATTTTAATAGATAAACGAAGCGAACATGTTGAGTGAATTTTAATGAATAATAATAAACAAATTGTCTTGGTGATATTGTTACGATATAGTATATTAAGTATCCAACACGGTAAGTAAAATTTACCGGTTGACGACAATAGTGTCGGAAACCGGTAAATTACTTACCGTTCGTGATGGTTATAACATTTTTTGCACGATCGAAATGAATATAAATAATAATTAATTTACTAAAATATGTTGACATTTGTAATGATTTATAAAGTAGGTAAAAATTTTGAATTAATTCTGTTGCAATGGTTTTATTTACAAAAAAAAAACAAATGATGTGATTTGTGAAATTGTATTGTAAACAGTGCTTACAATAATATTAAAACTTAATATAATATAAATTATATAAATTATAATATATATTACTATATAACCAAATTGAGTGATTCTGAGAGTGAAAATGGTGATGATATAGAAAAAGCTTGGAACATTGGACGTTCGGCAATAATTCCCGAAAAATCTAGGGAACGTTATGAAATGACGTACCAAATTTTCAAAAAATGGTGTGGAGTAAAGAATAAAAATACGAGTGAAAAAATCTTGTTGGCATATTTGGTCGAAAGAAACGGAAAATTAAAAGCTGCAGGTAGTTTATGAGCCGAATACTCAATGTTGAAAGCGACAATTTTTTTACACGTATCCATTGATATATCCAAGTTTTCAACATTACCTAATTGCCTTTCTAAAAAGAAAAAATGTTGGGTACAAATTTAAAAAAGCTAGTGTTTTTACCAAGGATGAAATGTTTAAATTTTTAATTGAAGCACCAGACGAATTGTTTTTAATCCATGTTATTCGTTAAATTAAAGTCAGCTTTCTTGTAACAGATGTATTAACTTTACTTAGAACACAAAAAAGAATATGTAACTGATTAAACTAAACGCTATACATTATTTGGTCCACACGACACTTCCTTCTTCTTCCGATGATGCACACCGACTTGTTTTAGTTCGTACATCTCGTCTCTACACGCCACCTATTGTCGTTCGCCAACATCCATAAAGTAAATTTAGATTACTTGTAAAAATACGAGGATATATTTCCGACAATGTATTTTTTTAGGTAGCAATGA